TGTTTCTGTGGTTGGGAATGTTGCAGAAACAGACCTTATTTTAAAAAAAAAAACGTACTTATATGCCTCGGTTCAGGTCATAACCGAAGTCGAAAGACCACTTACGGCCTCGGTTATGGTCACACCCGAAGCAGAATGTGTTGCGTATTAGAAAAAAAAAATAGTCTACTGCCTCGGTTGTAGCCTGAACCGAGGCAGTAGAGTGGGACATACTGCCTCGGTTGCAGTGGAACCGAGGCATAAAGTCCTACGAAAAAAAAAATAAAAAAAAACAAAAACTTTACTGCCTCGGGTAGAGAAAACCGAGGCAAAATCCTCTCTTTTTATGCCTCGGTTCACAACCGAGACCAAAAGTATTAGACCTTTTGCCTCGCCTAAATATGTCTCGGTTCAAGAACCGCTGCCTATAGAGAAAAATAACCGCTGTCGTTTCCCCTGACTGTACTAGTGTCTGTTGCGAAGGTACCGATGGATTTACTGATGGATATATCTTTTGGTAATTACCAGTGCATATATTTGTTTATACTTACCAGCGAATATATCTTTCAATAATTAATAACAAATATATCCTTTCGGTAATTACCAACGGATATATCTTTTGGTAATTACTAACAAATATATCTTTTAGCAATTACTGATAGTCAATATTCGTCGGTAATGGTTATTGACACCATTATTGCCGAAAGAATAGTGGTCATCAGTAATTCGTTGATAATACATGTTTACGGGGGAAATATAATTGATTCCGAAAAGATATGACCATCAGTAATACCAGTGTTTTTAGTAGTGTACATGGCATTTCTTAAGGTTAACAAAAGGGAAAAGTTGTAGAGTACCAAAAATTTTTGCATGAGTTTTGAAGCCATCAAGTAAGGTAATGAGAATAGGTGAAATTTGAGAAAAAGTGAGTAAACTTGCAAGGTTAAAAGTCATGTGATTAGAGGTTCCCGTATCAATGAGTCATTGATCACAATGTATATCTATAGAAGAAGGAGATGAATGTGCAACGTTATGTTGTGGGCAAGATTGTAATGATGGGAAGAATCACAACTACCTAAGTTGGACTTTTGAAGCAAGGTAAGAAGATCTTAATACTGCTCTTATGTAAAACCAGAACCTAAGGAAGTAATCCCTAACTTGGTTTAACCCTTTTTTTTTGTGGCATCATTGCAAGTACACCTATTGGCACTACTTTTTCTCGGCTTGTAACCAGGACGAAAGTCGTGCTTAAAATAACATGTGTCAACTGTGTGATTAGTCCTGTCGCAATGAGTACATAGTTTGTTGGAGAATATTAGTTTGGTTTAACAAGAAGAACCTTTCTAGAAATACTTTTTCAAGTGTTGACAAGAAAAATTTTCAAATCTAGTGGAGGTTCAATCATTCATGTTGCATATACCTACCTTTCTTGTTGAACAACCAAAGATAATACTTTGTTTATTGGAGGAAGAGGATCAAGAAGCATGTTGGGATCTAACATGTTAAAATTGATTGCTCAACCCTTTGACGAAACAAATGACATAGTTTTGATCTTTGTAATTTTTTTACATGCTTGGGTGGCTTTGCATGTACAAGGTATTGAGCATGTGAGAACAAGTCTATAATTGTCAAACTCATCCCATAGACCTTTTAATTGAGTGAAATATTGACTAACATTGAGGGTGTCTTGTTGTAAGCGAAAAATTTCTTCTTGAAGTTTAGAAACCTTAAACACATCAGCTTGAGAAAATCCTGTCAAACCTCCTATATATATAAACCTCATTTTACAAGTTGATTTTGTGAGTTTGAATTGTCTATTTTTTAATATGATATCATAGTCATATGTTAGAGTTTATTCTAATAGGATTTGTGTATGTTGAATTGAATTAGACTTAAAAGTCAATTTTTTAAATTTTCAACTTGGTTTTGAAATGAAGAGCAAGCTTGACATCTCTTTCTCAAGCATGATAGTTTTGTCCGTGTAGAGGTGGTAGTTTCGTCCGTGTAGACGTGAGACTAAATCTTGTTCTGAAGCAAAAGGCATATATACAAGGATGAAAAAATCATCCATACATAACAAAACGTGACAAACCTTACACATGGACATAGAATAAGACAAAAGTGTAAAAATAAAAGATATTTATTTGGTAATATGACTTGTTAAGTATTATATATCACCATTGCTAAGGTTGAAGTACATTGATAAACTGTTCCAAAAATCTAATATATTTTCAATTATTTTAATTAATTCGGTATATAAAATAGATGTAAAATTACATTAATATGTACATAACTGAATTAATTAAAATAAAAAAAAGTCAGGTTTTTGGTCAGGTTTTTGGTCAAATTTTGGGTGCTGTTGTTTGGTGATGTTCCTATTAATAAAAAGGAAGGAGAGTACAGTAAACATCAATTATGAAAAGGAGTTTGAAAGTAATATAAATTGTTCAAATTGATGTACCTGTGACCTTGTGTAAACTTGGTCTTTTTATGTGTTTCTGAATATTTAACTTTAGATAAATCTTATGCAACAACAATGTTTTTATTATATTTTTTAATGGAATATACAAAGTATATAAAATAAACAAATAAAGAAATAACTTCTCAATGATCCAAAGTATTTTATTTTCATACCTTATCTATTTCAAAGTCAAACAATTGATTCACTCCATTAACGTAAAGAAGAACAAGAGAGTGAGGTAAAACAGCCTGACAAAAAAAAAAAACAATTCAAAAGAATGTCTTTTATGGAAGTTAAAGGGTAATTTTAATTTGTCTTTTAAAAAACATATATTTGGAGTCTCACCTGCAACAAACCAATAAAAAACAATGGAGATATATCCGATAGTTTCTCTACTGCAACGAGAGACGCAGAAATTGCAGCTGATGCCTGTAAAATACAGATAAATTAATTTAAAACAACAGGGTACTAGTTATCAGAAACTTAGTATTGAGCATAACTTTTGAATATTTATTACGAGAATGATGGAAAAGTTTCTACTTACGTGACCATATAATGCGTAAGGGTAAATCAATTGGTACAAAGCCGCCATGAAATTTTTGACAGAGTCGACAATGTTATTGCAGTTGGAAGCTTCAGATTCTGACTCAGAAGATGGTACAGTGTCGGCTTTCGCAGCATAATTTTGAATGCTTTTGTAATGCTGATTAAAAGCTGATAGTTGAAACCTCAAAGGATCATATTGTATTTGACTTTTTATTTTGTGCTGAGAAGTTTTTGATACACCAGAACCTAATGCATACCAAGTGTTCAAAGTTGTAGCATGCACAACAAAAAGTATATTTAAAATTATTGAAACTAAATCAAGACAAGATGATGGATTGGGAGAATAGTAAATTTGAAAATTCAAATATATATATATATATATATATATATATATATTGTAAATATAAATTATGTGAGAAATTTAGTTATCATCAAATATAAACAAATCCACCAAATTATTACATGACTGTTGTAAAGCTTTAGGTTCGATGAGCATGTGCATTTTTTAATTTTTTATGTTTTAAAATTTAATTAAATAATTATAAAATAACTATTATTATTATTATTATTTTATTATTTTATAAAGCATGTTTTAATAAATAGATAAATGTGTAGTTATATATTCATACTAATTTATTTATTTTGTATATTACATAATAAATTTGTTAATAAAAATGTAGTTGGTATTATTTATTGACAAAAATTTATATTCACAGATAATTATTGAAAGAAAAATTTGACGATAAATATCATAATGTGATTCTTCTTCTTTATCTTCTCTCTTTCCTTTTTCTCTTTTAATTTTTTTTTCTATCCTTCGCTAAACTCCTTCATATGAGCATCACAACCTAACTAAAAGAACGCATCTCATTTAACCCTCACTCTCTAGTGGAGAATGCATCTTCCCCGAACATTACATGGATAACCTACTATCTCAGATTTTTCTTATCAATTCTTATGTTTGATTGGTTCGTCTCTGATCGTAGTGAATATGTGCATGAATATTAGTTGGTTATTTATTTTGGTTTCTTCAATGGATTCATGTTTCATGGTGAGACGATGAGGTGATGGTGCACGAGAAGATGGAGATCTAATGGAGATGACGCTATGTGTGGTACTTGAAGAGGCAGATTTGTGATTTAGGGCTTGCATAAACTGCTTCAAGGTGCATATCAGAGTTGATGGAGATGTGATCTAGTGAAAGTGGTTGAACTTGTGTTGCATGGTCGCATTTTATGGGAGGTTCATCCAATAGAGGAGATCTAGTGATGCACGACTTCTGATAGTCTGTGTCACGGGTGATTTATGTTTTTTGTTTGGTGGATTGTGAGAATGGTGATGCTCGCAAAGTAGCTTTATGGTGTCACATTTTAGTTCTATTGTTATTCGCGATTTAATTTTAATATAAGTGTAGTGCAAGTGCCTGGTGCCTTTCGTGTATATTTGTGTTGATGATTAGGATTTTAGAGGGAAAAGGATGAAATGATGTGGGTGGAAATTTGTAGTTTTTTCATTGATAGATTTTCCGACAAACAAACTGTTGATCATAAATTTGTCAATCAAGGTTGTCAAATTCGAAAGTTTACGTAAATTCGTGAAAAATTAGTAAATTTGACTCGTAAACTCGTAAAAGTGTATTCATATAAAAAAATGAAAACAAAATATAAATAATATTTTAATTCAAATAAATCTATAAAATTATATAACTTCAAATAGAGAAAACCCAAAGACATATTTTTCATAGAAATATTATAAAATATAAATACTTGGATTGGTATCCATTAAATTTGATCCATTTCGAGACATAATACTTTAGGTTTTTTCATTGAACATAAAAAAAAATAGTGATAGCGGTAGAGGACACTCACGACTTTATTAAAAAATAAATAACTTCACTCAATAGTGAGTGACACATAGCTAGAAGGAGGCAAGACCAAGAGATGAGATGACAGGCATATGACAACCATGAACAAAGTGCTAATGGAGCACAAACGGAGTCTGACCTGATTGCGAACAAGCGCGTGCGACAGCGTCCTGAAGAAGGTGAGGCGATGGCGAATAAGATAGCCATGGAGAGAGACATAGGGGTGTAAGAGACTCTGTCAATCATGTCATGAAACCCTAAACCCGAAACAAGCTTATTTTTCTTATTTTTTTCCCTTTCAAACTCACAAAATCGCTCTAAACTCGCTATTTTACTCGATCTTATGAATTTCACAGTCGATTCCACCAAATTTACTTAGAAAACAAGTTTACTTAAGAGTTAAATCAAAACCCAAGTCTAGAAATTTTAACTCGGACGAGTTAACTAGTTAACTCGTGAGTTTGATAATCATGTTGTCAATAAAATCCATCGATAATTAAAATTTCAAAATCTATTAATAAAATTGATCGATAATTTAAATTTTAAAATTTTGTCAATAATTTTAAATTTTTTTGTAGTGTAGTGTTTAAATTTTTTTAAAAAAATAAGTATATTATATAATAAAAGATGATAATTAGAGGTGATTATTTCCTTTTTATTCACACCTTCTAGATGAAAAAAATATTTAGAGTGAGATACTCAGAAAGCTAACCAAAGAACCATAATAAAGGTTATTAGTTGAAGGAATAGGGTGTAAGTGATGAGACATACTTTCACAGTAAATACTGTTGAAGGAGAGTTTCCTGCCCCAAAGATTTGCACCTACAATTACAATGCATGCTTCCACATATTATTCAGAAAATAACTTTGCAGTGAAAAATGAAGCAAAAAAGAAGACAGTGAGTATAAATAAGTACCAGTTGAGAGTGAAGAGACGTTCGGAGAAGATATTAGATGTGCCATAGCCATGGAAACTCACCACACAGAGTGACACTAAACTCTATAGAACAGATAAGAACGTAGAGATACCCTTGTACAAGACAAGATAGGAATAGGAGATTTTATAGGCGAAAAGATTCATGAAATAATCAAACATTTTGCAGGCAAACAATTGCAAAATAATCAAATCAAACAGAACAGTCTCACGTAAGATAAATTTAAAAGACTAATGATCACGCCGAACATATGATAGTCAACATTTTGCAGACAAACAATTGCAAAATAATGAAATCAAACAGACAGTCTCACGTAAGATAAATTTAAAAGACTTTGATTGGTACATAGAAAATGATCACGCGGATAGTCAACATTTTGCAGGCAAACAAGTCCAAAATAATCAAATCACAACGAACAGTCTCACGTAAGATAAATTTAAAAGACTTTTATAACAGGATGTAGTAGTTTAGATTTTAATAAATTTACAACGCAAAGGTTTGGAAAGACTTTGTGAATTACATGGATTTTTGTAATGTATAAGGTCGTACAAAAGAGAAAAAAAGAAAAGAAAGTTGAAACATTCTTTTTTTCAATCATTTAATAATTTATTGGTTGTAGATTTCACACATATTAAAGTAAAACTATATAGGTATCTAAGTATATTTTGTCTTTCTTCTTGCACAACCTTATGTATTTTATTTAAATAAAAAAATATAACATAGTTATTTAGTTAGTTTATTAAAGTTTAATTCTATATCACTTATTCGTGTATAAATATAAACTAGGTTTTCTTCTTTAATCCATGACGAATGGCGCTCGAACACTACAAAAATAATTAATTTTAGGAAGGGTTTTTTCCGTTTTCGGCGTTTTATACTTAAAACCGCAGGTAGTTTTTTTTTTAAAAACAAAAATTTTGGCGGTTAAAATAAAAACCGTCCCCTAAAATATATATTTTTAAGAATAATTTTTGGGCGGTCCTTAATTCACCTCCCGCACCTTCATTTCTTATTCACCTCCATTTCCCCCACCTTTGTTCTAAGCCCTAATTCCCTCCCTCTTTTCTCACTGTTGTCATCAAAATCTTCTCCTTCTGCATGTTCGTGGAGCGTCTGTTGCTGCTGCCTTCATCAATCTTGGGCTGAGCGTCGAGGTCGAGGCGGCAAGGACGAGGTAGCGAGGTCGAGGTGGCGATGACTCTGTCGAGGCAATTTTCATCACTTCCGTCTCCCAGGTATGTTCATCTTATCTCTTCAATCTTCATCTTATCTCTTCAATCAGAAATCTCTATGTTCTTTTCCTTTTGTCTGAGCGTCCCATTCCTAATACTTTCTAGTTCCTCTCTTTCATCTTTTACTTCCCATTTCAATTCAGACTCTAACCTAATCTCCATTTTTCATTCTAACCTAATCTTCTGGATGAGTCCTAGGTTTCCCCTATATTAGACCAAAGATCCTGTTAGGTTAACCTCTTGGTCTGAAGACGAGATGACCTCTAAAGAATTGGAATAGTTGAATGTCTTAACCGAACTGCCTCACCCCTTTTCCTCTCGAAAGATAATAAATTGTTTTCAGCACGACGACTTTAGCTCGCGGGTATTTGGTATAATCACACCTTTATTAATATTTGTAGCTATTTTATGATTGTAATTGACCTGCCTGTTGTGTATTTGACTTGTAGACAATGACTAGGTTTATTCTGCATTTATTGATGAGAAGCCAAGGATTTGCGAAACTGATATATCTTTTGAGATTATCCTTTTGCTGCATTTATTTTGTACTTTATTTTTTTAAGTAAAAATTGAAGATATATACGATTTGAGAAATCAACTGATTCGGTCCTGATATTTTTGTCGTTACTGATGGGGCCATTGAGGATGAGAGAGAGATATGCAATTTTGTGAAAAGCTATGTCTCAAGTGGGCAATCAGTTCCAACACCGCGCATATGTAGCTTTGGCATATGCAAGATTTCTAGCTTCGACTTCTATATATGTTCTTCAGAAAACAGTTTCTGATTTATCATTAATTAGCCATGTTCATCCGACATTGTAAAGCTCCGGTGGGTAGAGGGTTAAAGCCTGAAAGTTGGCAGGCCTCTCATCCCGTTCTACATGTTCTATGAAGAATGAAACTGATCCCAAAGTGATCAACTAATAAACACCGTGATCAAGAGCAAATTGACTTTAAGATTGTATTCAACCAAGTGTGTTCTTTCAACATCTGAATCTGTAAAACATCTACAATAATATCTAGCAAAGAGATAAATTAGTCACACTTGTATAGCTCTATGCTCCCCATTCTCCCTGCTTTTGAAAGAAAATAAGAATTTAAGTTCATCCATGAAGAAACACCATGATTGTGCTCAATAGTCTTGAAAACAATTTTGTGCTCGGATCTGTTAGAAGGATCGAGACAACATCTTGAAATTTGAAAACACTAGAAGCCTCCCTGAACTAACACCAAAATGGTTAACTCGAGAAATTTATTACACTTGTAGTTGGAGGAATCTGATTGCCATCAAGAATTTATTTATCATCTAACTCAGTATCACTTTTTATCTTCCAAGTATTGTTTGATTTTTTACATTAGTTAGTTAGACAATTTCTCTCAAAAGGGAAAACAACGCTAATTGATTGTCAACAAAAGAATTCATGTGCTTATTTATGAGCTTGTATTAATAATTAGAAGAAAAGAAATGGCGTTACAGATCGTTTATAAGTGACTAAAAATACTAAATTGTGTGTAGTGGTGACTTTTAAAGTAGTTCAAAACATAATTTTTTTAATGATACAATAGCATTATTTTTTAAATAAAGAATTTTTTCCCCAAAGGCTAGAATCATCTTATTAACAAGAAGTTAAAAAAAGTACTTCACACATTTACTTCAAATAATACTTAATGCATACATATCCCCAACAACAATGCCTTCTCAATGTCCTAGATTTATGCAGATAACATTATGTTTAATGCAATTCATTTAACACAAATGGATTTCTTTGTGCTCATTCTTCTGTTTCCATGACTAATATGATTCAAGTCTTGTCTAAAGGTGTTTCTACGAGTTCTTTAATGTCTCAACTTCCATCTAAGGGCATCAAACTTTCCTAATTTGCGTCTCCAATTAAAAGCAATTTTCTCTAAAGTGCATGATTGGCCTATGACTTCCATTGGGAGAGGTTTTTTTCTTTTATTTAGGTATAAATTCAAGAATCATGATGTTTGAACAACGGTTCTAGCTGCTAGTTATTCGAGTAGAATACTAGGGACAAAGGATAGATGCAGAAGTTGTAGAAAGTATGAAATAAAAGATTGATTTTCCATATCTTCCTATGCAGTGATTTTTTTTTACTCTAAACACTACTATATGACAAAAAGAATTTCAAAAGGCTAAGCTGCAGAGAAGAACAAACAACCATGCCCTAAATACATGTTAGCTATGTCCTCCCCAATGTATCCATATGATGGTTATTTGAAGAGAATCTCAAATCATATATATCAGTTTCGCAAATCCTTGGCTTCTCATCAATAAATGTAGAATCACAATAAACCTAGTCATGGCGATGAAGAACACGAAGAGTCGAGGAGTGACTGTCGTCGGCTAAGTTCCGACCACGACCGGCGGTCGGCGGCGAGGCCCATGGCCTGACTGGATGAAGAACGTGCGGTGGTTAATGGTCTTCGAATTCGAAATCCCTAATTCCCTTTTCAATTCACTCTTTCCCTGACCCTTTTCAATCCCTAATCTATTATTTTAACATAAACCATTTCAACTTTGCCATGTCATAAATTCCACATAATCAAACAATGCACATCATCATAAACATGTCATCACCGTTTCACGCCGTCTATCAAAACTTAACGGAGGGGGCAAAATTAGCCCAATTTTACAAATATATAGACCAAATTTTGACAGTTAAAAAAACGAGGACTCACTTGAGATTCTCCTACAAAGACGAGGATCATCTAAGGGTTTAAACCAATTAAATATTTTGAAAAACCAAGTCAACTTTATACATTTAATTAAACGTACTGCTTTTGGGCAAGCGCAATAGGGTGTTAATACCTTCCTTATGCGGAACTGATCCCTTAACCTTAAATTTTATGTTTTTTCATAGTTTTTCCAGAATAAATTATGGCTATGATTTCCAAAATATTTTCTTAAACCCGTTATTTTCAGTTCGTCGTCCTGTCGCGATCCCGGTTGCGACACATACTCATTCATGAACATTGATAATGCATCACAACTATTGAAAAGAGGGAAGAAGAGGTTTGTATAAAGAGGAAATTTTTTTAATACAATATAATCAGC